CCCCCCTCCCCGGGCTCACCTGTCTGCATGTTGGCCCTTCTTCCCCCTCACAGCCCGCTGCCACAGTGTCCACTCTGATCTGACCAGCAATGGCCTGGACAGTCCTGGTCACCAGATGGTCAATCTTGGCCCAGAGAGCGGGGATGTCATGTCCTTGTTCCTCCATTGTCTTGAACACAACGGACAAACGGCGTAGACTGCCGTGGTGGTCCTATGGGAAGTACATTTTGAGTTGTGGTTTAAAGACTTTTTTTGGTAAAGTGTTCTACGGCCCTCGCAACTGCATAAGGTCATATGAGCGCGCGGGACATATTAAACATTTTCCGTAGGTAGGAAATTTTGATTTTTGCCCGGGTGGCGGCCGAAGCCTACTCTTATCGATCTTATACCACCAAGGGACGTGTGCAACTTGCGCATGGGACCTCCGAGATTTTGCGCCCTTGTCCGAAAAGGCTAGGTGTAAATCTTTCCTGCCACAATATCCGGGGCGTGGCTGAAAGGCAGCAGTAAGAAGGCGCCAAGGAGAAGCAGTAGAAAGGCTGCAGAAGGAGAAGAGGAAGGAGCCAAGAGGAAGGGGCAAAGGAGGTGAGGGGGCGGGGGAAGAAAGTGGAGACAAAAGCAGACGACAGAATATTGCAAGAGAGAAGGAAAGACGGTGAAAGGAGACACTTTTAGAGAAGAAACTTTTTAGGTCGCTACCCGGATTCGAACCCGGGATCGTTGAATGAGAGGCGAACACATTAACCTCTAGTCCACGAGAGCCCCCTGAGTCTGACAATAAAGTCTTAGTTGTAATGTATAGGTGAGTCAGCACGAGAATGGTTGCAGCTGGCCTCAGTTACTGTTTTGTTGTTATATCTATAGGAGTGTAAGAACATAGAAGGGCTCACTGTAAGGTCAGTGTTGGCGTTGTGCTGTGTGTATGTGAGTGTGAGAGAGTGAGAGAGAGACAGAGTAAGAGAGAAAGAGAGATATAATATAAAGCGATAGAGAGAGAGCGAGTTGGGAGGGGGGGGTAATTGACAGCTAGGGAGGGAGAGGGGGTAAAGAGAGATAAAGAGAGAGAGAGAGAGAGAGAGAGAGAGAGAGAGAGAGAGAGAGAGAAAGGGAGAAAAAGAGAGAGAGAGCAGAAAAAGTACAGAGAGAGAGACAGAGAGAGAGAGACAGAGAGAGAGAGAGAGAGAGAGAGAGAGAGAGAGAGAGAGAGAGAGAGAAAAGAGAGAGAGAGAGCGGTAGCTGTTGCTCGAAATCAAAATTAAATGTAAATTTCGGTCCCTCATTCTCCAAATAAGGTAAAAACGTCTTTCTGCATAACGCCACGCTGACCCAGCTGTAGACCCACACAGTGGGAAGACCAAAGATAGCGATACGGTACTTGCTCCGGTAATTTCTAATGCGGGGCATTAAATGGCCGACTATGAGCTCCTTTTGTTTAAAACTTCACAGAGTACGCCCCGATAGCAGGAGCATCCAAACGGACAGAATTTAATTCGAAACAGAGTCGATTACTTTCAGTAAAATATTGGAAAGAATAAATAGTATGCAGATATCTCAAACAAATTTGGCTCTGTTCTTGATAAGGGTATACATGCAGGTATATATTCATCAAAACAAGGTTAATGGAAATGTAAATTAAAGCACAGAAAGATATGTGTTTATGCCTCATTGGTTACTCAAAGGTTTTTGATAAAGTTACGAGGGCCGTTCAAAATGTTTTGCATCCTCCCCCAATAACTTCTAAACTATTCAAGATATCTTCATGAAATTTGTACACAATTGACTTTCAATATGTATACTCTCAAACCCAAAGAACAGAATTATGCTACGATGTCACACCTTTAAAGAACAGAATTATGCTTCGTCAATGACCTGACCTGACCATCAATGATATATTTATAGAGGCACCAGCCATCCATGTCCAGGTACTGTTTTAGCCTCGTTTTCCTGTATTCTGATTAATGATATCTTTTTGCCAATTTATTGGTTCCGCTTCTATGTACCCCATATTTATGGTTCTCAACCTGGAAAAAGCCTATAATTCGCTTCGTCAATGCTACTAATGGATAGTGCTTTGTCGCCGCTTTCGAATGATATTCAGAACTCAAATTTTTAGGAAAATGTGACTTAACCTTGTTGTCATTCTCAGGTCTTCAATTACGAAGCGTGAATCGACAATGTTAACGCAAATCAAAAAGATTCCTTACGTCTTCAGACTTGTCGAAGTTGTCGTGGAAAATGTTGAAGGAGTAGTTAGTAATGTGCATGCAGGACTCGGCCATGTTCTCCTTGGAGGGTTTCTGGTACGGAACAGTTGCTAGCCGTATGTAGCCCTCGCGGCAGATGTACAGAGACAGAGGGAACAGGGAATGGACGTACACGTGGAGCCGAATGTCAACCTTGAAGCTGTGATTTGGGAGGGGGGATGGAGGGGGTTAATAGCATACATTAATGTAGTTGTGCTTGCTGTTGAAGTTGTTGTTGTTACTGTTCTTGTTGTTGTCGTGTTGTTGTTGTTGTTGTTGATTGTGTTGTTGTTGTTGTTGTTACTGTTGTTGTTGTTGTTGTTGTTGTTGTTGTTGTTACTGTTGTTGTTGTTGTTGTTGTCGCTGTTGCTGTAATTGTTTTTGATGAGGATGATGATGATGATAATGATGCTTTTGTTATTATTATTGCCGTTCTTGGTGGTGGTCATGGTAGTGGTGATGTGGCGTTAGCGGTTATGGTGATGATGCTGTTCATGTGTAGGGCGATGTCCATTAATTTAAAAGTTGTGGAGAAGAAAGGAACATAGCCTTTTGCTGCTTTTGTTGTTGCTGCTGTAGTAGTAGTAGTAGTAGTAGTAGTAGTAGTAGTAGTAGTAGTAGTAGTAGTAGCAACAGCAGCAGCAGCAGAAGAAAGCACCAATAGTAGTAGTGGTTGCTGTCGTTGCTGCCGCCGCCACTGCAGCTGCAGCAGAAGTAGAAAAGATAGTATAGCCTACGGTAGGGTATAGTATCTTTGGTAGTAGTAGAAAATTTTCGTGTTGTAATATTGAATAAATAAATATGTTGCTTTCGACGCTATGTCATCTTTGTAGATATGTGAGGCAGCGTGGTGGAATCAGGCTCTCGTTAATGTTTGGGCATGTAGAGTTATTGATATCCTCTTAAAGCTTTTTCATTTGTCTTTATTTGGATGAAAAAAATAGCACTTGATCTTGAATACAAGTCGAGGTATTTGCGAAAGAAGGAGGTAGGGGTCACCTGTTTTCAGAGGTAAAATTAGTGAGAAAATAGCCGCCAAACATTAGCTATTTCCTTAGCTTAAGAGTCCGTGGTAACTGAAAATTTACATTTTTGTGTGCCTTTAATCAACGTTTTTCAGAAAAATCCACACAGAAATTTATTCTTTAATGGGCATGAAAGGTGTTTAGACCAACAACAAAAATTGATAAAAATTCACAAACCTGAAGAAAAATGCAAGTTTTGTCACTCTGATTATTTTGACCAGAGCCTGATTCCACCACGCTGCCTCACATATTGTAGCCTCTATGGCACAGCAGTCGTCGTCGTTTGTTATGTTTGTTGTTGTTGCTGTTGTTTGTTTGTTTGTTTGTTTGTTTTTTGCTGCTACTGCAGGTGCTACCGCAATACACGTTTGTCAATAATATTCTTCAAAGTTCTTACCCGTCCATTAACAAGGGGTCGCTGATATACTCTTGCACAATGTCCCCATTTTGGCTGGCCACGTACTCGTCTGGTTGCTGAAGCAGATAAACTCCTTTAGCACTGTAGCCATCTGTCGGCTTGACAATGTACGCGCTTTTATCGTCATTGCTGGCGTTGTTTTTTGTCTGAAAAATAATTAGTATAATGGTGTTGCACTTACATTGTTCCATAGTTAGTTTAAGTAATTGTATAGCTCTTGCAACACAAAAAGGTCATATTATTATAATGGCCGAAGACTAGACGTGTAACAAGAAAGTAATAAACTCAAAAAAGAGATGGAGGAGAGAGAAAGACGACAGATGTTTGATAGGAAAGAATGACTAAACCACACACCCGCCAGCCGCAAATGTTCGATGTTTCATGAAAGAAGACAATGTTATTGGGACTTCGTTGCATGCATGCAGCAGTTGTGTGTGTGTGTGTGTGTGTGTTTTTCAATTTCGAAAGGGAAAAGGTTTGAGTGGATGGGG